ATATTGAAGAAAAAGGTTAGGATAGAAGCGTTTGAACATAACAAGCATTGACCATTGGGTTATTAAAAGAAGGCTGTTGATGTGGGGCATCCTCACTGGCCTAATCGATCACTTCAATTTACCTTTAGCGGCATATTCTATAAATGTGATAACTGATAGCCCGTTATCTGTGTAGTACTCTGATCAAGTCGTCAGTACCACGGGTTGAAGTACCGTTTCTTTTCTCCCGCCTCCTGTGTCGCACTCCCTCCCCGTCAGATCGGGACTGCCGTTACCCAGGTCGCTACGACGTAAATAGCGGCACGCCAAAGGCTGGTCGGTTCCTCTGTCTCTTTACAGCGTTACAGAGAGACGCCGATATGGAGACGTCCGGCGACAGTCTGCCGTTCGCTGAGACGGGAACTCGGCCACTCCTGCCCATCTGTTGGTGGCGGCGGCGCCAACTGCTGACACAGCCCTCGGTCCGCGGTGCCTTCTGTCCATTAATCTCAACGATGATGTCGAGATCCAGTCATGCTGGCCGGCTAATGGGGAAGAATGTGACGTTAAATTCCGAGCGTTTCGGCAGAATCACTGCGCAGCTGCGCGCTCCGCCTCTTTCGGTTTCTTGTGACGCAGTAATGCACGATAAACTGACCTCACTTTTCTGTGACAAATCAACACAAACCTGATTTGACCTCTCAGCCATTTCTCGCGGGAGGGGGAGGGGTTCGCTCTGCGCCGGGCAGACCGGCACAGGTCCGTTACCGACCCAGAGGGTTGCCGCAGCGGGTTTCCCGCCCAGAGACACGGCGTCCCAGAGTTGTCACGGCGTCCCAGAGTTGACACGGCGTCCCAGAGTTGTCACGGCGTCCCAGAGTTGTCACGGCGTCCCAGAGTTGTCACGGCGTCCCAGAGTTGTCACGGCGTCCCAGAGTTGTCACGGCGTCCCAGAGTTGTCACGGCGTCCCAGAGTTGTCACGGCGTCCCAGAGTTGTCACGGCGTCCCAGAGTTGTCACGGCGTCCCAGAGTTGTCACGGCGTCCCAGAGTTGCCACGGCGTCCCAGAGTTGTCACGGCGTCCCAGAGTTGTCACGGCGTCCCAGAGTTGTCACGGCGTCCCAGAGCTGTCACGGCGTCCCAGAGTTGTCACGGCGTCCCAGAGTTGTCACGGCGTCCCAGAGTTGTCACGGCGTCCCAGAGTTGTCACGGCGTCTCAGAGTTGTCACGGCGTCCCAGAGTTGTCACGGCGTCCCAGAGTTGTCACGGCGTCCCAGAGTTGTCACGGCGTCCCAGAGTTGCCACGGCGTCCCAGAGTTGTCACGGCGTCCCAGAGTTGTCACGGCGACGGGAACTCCCGCTGGCCTGGCGGAAGGTCGCTGATGTGTGACCGGGCCGCTGCGCCGGCCGCGTGGGGCGTGCAGACGTCCAAACGAACTCCAGCGACCTCGGGTCGCCGCTCACGGCTCAACAATAGCCTGCTTTGGTCGTCTCTTTTCAGCAGCCCACAGAAATCCCTTGGCGTGACCTGGACTTGACCTAGCTGATCGTCATGGGGTTGAGTTACATCTGTAGGAGACCAGGTCCAGAACTGACGGTCAGCACATCTGCCTGATTCAGACATGGAACTGGCCTACTGCCCGTAGGTAACGGTTGAAAAGTATTGTGCACGCGTTTAGAACGATCCTCGATGTTTTCAGAGTCCCAATGGACTTAAGTAATTCTTAAATTAGCTTACGGTCTTGCCATATGAATAATAACTAACTGGTCGCAAACAAGAAGCAAAACACAGGACACACTGAAGTCTGAACAGAGAAGTATACGCGCCACTGAAAGTAATCAAGGAAAAGCTAGAAATGCAATAAACAATATAGAGAATACGGACTTAACCTGAACCATACATATGACATGTCTCGTATCGATCACTGGAGTGACTCAACCCAACCCCTCACCATCAAGAGTCGATACGAATGCGTCCAGAATAGACAGAACAGGCAGGCGAACAGCATCCGCTATTAATAACAACAACGGACACTGCTTCCAAGAACGCTCTAGAATCGCTTAAGAGTATATTTAAAAGCATCTTATTTATAAATCGGCTGAAGTACGTACACTTTCGTATCCGGAGTGAGCTATGACCCCGCATACCGATGATCAGTGCAGTGCGTCGTATGTTGTGGAATGACGATAGTAGCGACTCGCGGAACGCTGGGGCGATTGTATCGCCGCGGAACTATGTGCCAAGCTGTGGAGACTGCTCCTCTGGACAGGTCAGCCCGGCATAGCCGACGGGACAGTGGGTACAGGTATCCCCGGGATCGGTCGCGAGCTGAACCACTTACGTAGGTATACCTGAGACGTATAGGCTAAGCTCTTCCCTCGCCCACCCACTATCGTTAGAGCCTCCGCACCTATCCACCATCTCGGCGGGGCCCCTTCTTTACCCACCTTACATCGACAGTCCCTTGCCCACAATCGACGGGGCCTCTCGCCCACCATCGGCTGAGGCCATCGCCCCTCACCCATTATCGACAGAGGCCACAACCACCATCGTGAGCCTAGCCATCGCGAGCTGAACCATCGCGGGCTGAGTGGGGAGCCGGACCAGCTCCCTCTCTGCCGCTGCCGGGGAGTGGCTGCCGGCCGGCGCCACGCCGCCATGCTGTCCCCACGCCGTTTGTTATTGGCAATCACCGGGTCGGGCCGGGCCGGGCTGCGACGGGACTGGAGGCTGTCAAGGCCACATCCTGTCCGCTGTGAGTCAGCCGTCACCGCGCGCAGTGTCTCCGAGCTGCAGTAGGGACTCTGTTGCGGCCGCGACATGGAATACGTGTCGTGTTAAGGTGCAGATTTCACCGAAATTCCACTGATCTCTCTATCAGAAATGCGCCTCTTTCTGTTCCTTCAGTTCTGCGTTATGTGTCGTGGGGATGCCCTGTCTCCTTTTCTGTGTTTCTGTGTAAGTATGTGACACGCTGGCAGGGGCGGATCCAGGAAAACTCCAAGGGGAGGGTCATGAATCGAAGTGGTGCCCCTACCTATACCCAAAATTAAAAACTCAACGAATTTCGTCCACTTCATTTTGGTGGTGCCCCCATTTTCAGTTTTTTATTTTTATTTTTTATTTTTAGTCAGTATCTTACCTCTTAGCCACAACCACATTTACCAATTGTAAGCAATTGTATATATGAATGTGCTATGTGTATATATGTTGTGGACGCTGAGTAATGAGTACTTACCAGGAACGTTATCAGGTAAGCAAATCGTTGTCAGTCCGACGAACTTGACCCTGGCGTCTAAAGGGTCTGTCCTTGACACTTCAGGCTTGTCAGGGGCACCAAAGTCCTTCCAGGGACACCACAAACCTGTCAGGGGCACCTACGGCCTTGTAGGGGCGCCACAGGCCCGCCAGGGGCACCACAGGCCTGCCAGGAAGCAGGGGCACCACAGGTCTAGCAAGTATACACGACAGGCCTGTCAGGGGCACAACGGGCCTGTTGGGCCCATGAGCACCCCTAGGGGCAGGGGCACCACAGTCCTTCCAGGGGCACCGCAGGCCTGTGAGGGGCACCAGCGGCCTAGCAGGGGCACCAGTCAACACAGGCCTGCCAGGGGCACCACAGACCTGCCAGGGGCACCAGAGGCCTGCCAGGAGCACCACCGACCTCGCAGGGGTAACTTGGGCCTGTCAGGGCCCAGGGGCACCACGGGCCTGTCGAGAGGCACTTCAGGCTTTTCAGGGGCACCATAGTCCTCTCAGGGCGCAGGGGTAGCAGGGGCACCAGAGGCCTGCCAGGGGCACTACAGGCCTAGCAAGGGCACCACTGGTCTATCAGGGGCACCACGAGCCTGTCATAGCCAGGCATCTCAGGCTTGTCAAGGCCCAGCGGCACCACAGGTCTGTGAGGGGCACCAGCGACCTAGCAGGGGCACCAGTCAACACAGGTCTGCCAGGGGCGCCACAGACCTGCCAGGGGCACCACAGACCTGCCAGGGGCACCAAACGCCTGCCAGGGGCACCACCGGCCTCGCAGGGGCACCTTGGGCCTGTCAGGGGGACGACGGGCCTGCCGAGGGGCACTTCAGACTTTTCAGGGGCACCAGTCCTCTCCGGGCGCAGGGGCACCAGAGGCCTGCCACGGGCACCAGCGGCCTAGCAAGGGCACCAGAGGCCTGCCAGGGGCACCAGCGGCCTAGCAAGGGCACCAGAGGCCTGCCAGGGGCACCACAGGCCTAACAAGGGCACCACGGGCCTGTCAGGGGCACCTCAGGCTTGTCAGGGCCCAGGGACACCACAGTCCTTCCAAGGGCACCGCAAGCCTGTCAGGGGCACCAGAGGCCTGCCAGGGGCACCACAGGCCTAGCAAGGGCACCTCTGGCCTGTCAGGGGCACCTCAGGCTTGTCAGGGCCCAGGGGCACCACAGTCCTTCCAGGGACATTACAAGCCTGTCAGGGGCACCAGAGGCCTAGCAAGGGCACCACAGGCCTGCCATGGACACCACAGGCCTGCCAGGGGCACCACCGGCCTTGCAGGGGCGCCTCAGGCCTGTCAGGGGCACCACGTGCCTGCCGGGGACACTTCAGGCTTGTCAGGGGCGTTACAGTCCCAGTCCTGTCAGGGCCCAGGGGCACCAGGCCCGTGGTGTCCCTGCTAGGCCTGTGGTGCCCCTGGCGGTCCTGTGGTGCCCCTGTCAGGACTGTGATACCCCTGATAGGCCGGTGGTGCCCCTGGAAGGTCTTTGGGCCCCCGGGCCTCAAGGGGGGGGGGGGGGCCATGACCCATGTGACCCCCCCCCCTTGGATCCGCCCCTGCACGCTGGTGCCCAGCGCTGGCCCCCTGACAGTGTCGTTGGTCTGTGTTTCAGATGCGCCGGCTGGGCACGACTGTAGTACGCTGGCCCCTGACGGTGTCGTAGATGCGGTAGTACGCGCTGGCCGCTGACGGTGTCGTTGGTCTGTGTTTCAGGTTGTACGGCTGTAGTACGCTGGCCCCTGACCGTGTTGTTGCTCGGTGTTTCAGATGCGTCGGCTGGGCGGCGGTAGTGCGCCGTGATTATGCCGCCGTGTCGTCTCGTCTGTCTATGGACCGTCGTGCTGGCGCTGACCTCCTCAGCGTCGGCTAGCGGTAAGTGAACTCAGTGCACTGCTCACTGGACGCTGGTCAGTGGTCACTGGTCATTACTCGTCGGTCACTGAACACTAATCACTGATCACTGGACCATGGTGGGTAGTCACTGGTCAGTGACGGAACGAAAAGCAATGCCTGCTTGTCCAGTGGTCAGTGTTTCGTGCTAGGAAAAGATGAATCAGTCAGTAGTTGTTGGGTTGGTAAGTCATTAAAAGCCAGTAGTCAGCAGCTGATGTTAATTGGTCAGTGATGAATCATGCGAGGCAATTCGGTGATCATTTGTCAGCGGCCAGTCGCTGCTGACCACTAGTCTGCGATCATTGGTCAGTTTTGGTCGGTGTTTAGCGGTAGCAGCCATTTGTAAGAATGAGTGGTCAGCAATCAATCACCATTGAGAAGTCAATCGGTTGTCAGTGACGATTTAACGGTCAGATGTCAGCGGTCAGCGATCGGATGTCAGCAGTCAGTGGTCAGATACTCGGATGGCAAACGACTAGTGCAGTTGTCAAACGTCAGCGGTCAGATGCTGATTGTCAGGTGTTGGCAGTCAGTGGTCAGATGTCATTGGTCAGCGTTTAGATGTCAGGGACCAGTGCAGTGTCATATGCCATCGGTCAGCAGCCATATGCTATTGGTCAGCGGTTAGATATTATTGGCCAGCGGTCAGATTCAGCGGTCAATGAAGTAGTTAGATGTCAGCGGCTAGTGGTCACCTGGCAGCGGTCCGCGCTGATCTACCACTCAGCCGCCGCCCGGAGTACGCGCTCATGTCTCAGCCGACCCAGGAGCGGCGTCGGTCGGCCTTGAGCGAGCGCACACCCTGCCGCGCCCGTTTGGTGCGCCGCCACCGTACAGGCACCAGTCACCAGTGGTGTGGGCAGCAGTGACCCTCACTATACCGTCCGGTGTTTCCCCGAGAGCCGCCCGGCGCTGACGAGGGCTCTCACCGCGCCAGTAGAGCACATTTACCTCTGCCTATTTACGGATGTATATCAGATAGTCGGCGTGACGTCACTGTGGAGGCGACCGCCAGCTCGCGCGGCCGCTGACGTCCCACCTGGAAAGTGGCGGATATCGCGCCGATCTGCGTCCATGTTGGACGGATTAGAGTCGTCAGAAACCGTGCAGGATCGCTCATCCGCGCTGAGGAACACCGACCACCGACCGGTCACGTGGGGAGAACGGGTCCCTGGCAGCTGATGGGAGATGCAGCGCCATGGGGACGGCGAAAACACGAGCGGAGCGATTTGTAACTGAAAGGAGTGGCTGGTCCTATTTCTGCAATAAAGGAAAATATTTCCACACGTAATGCCATATATCTACACATTCTGTGAAATAAATATATGGATTCAGGTAATGAGGTGAGCAGTTTGATTCAAGTCCTAAAGGTGAAGGCTAAAAGCAGGAGCGGGTTGATCAAAGGAGCGTAGTGTCATCGCTAACATTGTGAAATAGATGATGTCACCAAAGAAGCGGTGGCTACGTTGTTTGTCCAATAAACATTCAACTAACTTCGCGAAATTATTCTAACTCCGCATATTTATTGGTTTTGCCTCAAGCCATGGTTCACTTCCTTAGCAAGTCAAATTTCAGTTGCATTACGCCTCAAAGGATGACCGCCGTGTGTTTACAAACGGGTGCTGCCGAACCGGGAGGACAGCCGCACCCTCTGTCTCCAAACAGTCCCGCTCGCAGCACAGAGCCGCGACTCTGCGCCGCCCGCAGTCTGCGGCGGAGTCCGGGGGAGGCGCGCGGAGGGCCACGGCCCTCCAGCAGCAGCCGCGCATCGCTCCAGCCCCGTCCTCCCGTTCTCCACGGCGGGGCGCCGGCGGCCACTCCACTCACTATCACACGAACGCCGGCCTGCAGCTAACGGAAGCCCGGTCTCCCGGAATGCCAACTATTTACGGCTCGTAAACCAGCGGCCGCATTAACGAACCCATTCGCCAAATTAGCAGAACCATGTAAAAACGGCTGCGGAACTTGCTCGTTCAGAAAACTGCCCTTCTGCGAAGTAGCATGTCTCTCGGCGTTGACACAAATGACAGTGCCGCGGCGTAATCGCTCTCATGGGCGGCGTGGCATGTCCGGAGAGGGTAACAAGGCGGGGAGGGTGTTACTAGGAACGGGCACCGAGGGGAGGGCGGTGCAGGGAGGAGAAGGGATGGACCATCGGAACTCAGTCATGAGAGTGATCGGACCACCGCGTTTCGGACCCGTGCCATCGTGCGCCTGACGACGCCTCCGACCAACGCAGCTTCGACTGGCCTAAATGACGCTTCGACTGGCACAGATGACAGATGAGAAAGTCTCTCTCTCCGACGTCAGCGGGCGATGAACGAACAGACGCGCTGTCCAAGAGCGTCACCGGCGGCGTCACGTGCATCACCGGCGGCATCGCGGGCGTCACCAGCATGCGGTCTCAGCGACACCGGCGTGCGTTCCCAGCGACACGGCGCCGGTCCGGTGGCGTGGCTAATTGAATAATGTACGGCTGCGGGGCACCGCTGGGCGCAGGCACAGCCGATACCCGGCGGCGGTACGTCGGTACGGCGACCACGCCACAATCGCCGCCACGCCGCGCCGCCCGTCCACCGCGCACGGGAGTGGTCCCGGAATCGATTACGGGCGGTGCCGGCTTCGACTGAACGCCCCGGCCATGCGGAGTGGGACTTCCGGAAGCCAGCGCGGGTCGCAGGGTGTGTGTGATGCCGCCGACAGGTTTCTGCTGACCGTTGACAGAGTGATTTATGGCAGTACCTGCTGGTGATTTACGTTTTCTCGGTATCGTCTGTATAGCGCAGGTGTGTTATTATTGCTGAATAGTGACGTGCTATTTATTCATGAATATTAACAAGTCTCTGAGAATATAACAAGCGGCATGCACGTAACACTCACGAGTCACGACATATAGCATAAGAAACACGCACAGTTTATGAGCCAGAGTATAAATGCGGAACACACATAACCACGTAACGCATACTACGTGACACATGTACATAAGATAAGTTGTTTGCAACATGCTTCTGTGAGCTTAACCCTCGCCGGCCGAGGGGCGGCGCCGCCCCCCCCCCCCCCATAGGTTTTTTTCGCGATAGCTCCGAACACGCTGGCGATAGAGAGCTGAAACTTGGCATATCTGACCTATGATCCAAGCCGGATCTTTTGACACCAACCGCATTGTTGGGTCAGGTCAGGTCACTCACCTATGACGTCATAAGTGGACCTCTGCACGGTCTTCAGATGTCGCAACTTCGCAACGCCCTCACTGCCAGAGGAGATGTCACAGGGAAATGAAACTTGCAGGACCTAGTATCCATTATCAGTCTCACAACTTGTATATCTCGTATTTTCCTAAAGGTCATATGAGGTCAGGTCATTTTCGTGACCTCACCATTAGGTATAAGTCAATGGGGAAAATGAAAACTGCTATTCTGGCGCCGGGAACTATCTCCAACTATCTCAAGCACACAGAATCGTGATTTGATGCACTCCTTGCAAGTTTAGATGCGTCACTTTTGCAATATTGACCTTGCGTGACGTCATTTATGACGTCATCAAGGTCATATTCGTTTTTCGTCAATAACTCTTGATCAAATTGAGCTAGCGACTCGGGAAAGCCACCAATGGACTCAGGAAGACCTGCCGAATCGAATGATATGCGACATGACCTCTTTCGACCAACTTCGTGACCTGGGGGTGCTGACCTGACCTTGACCTGAGGTCAACACCCCAAGTTGACCTGACCCGAACAAAAAGTATATTATTCGACGCGCCTGAGCGAGGCGAACACGATGCTGCCAAAATCGCGGCTCTGCGGCCGTTTTTTGCGAAGTTATTCACCAAAAACTGAACCGTACCTTGGGGCACTTGACCTGACCTCAGAGGTCACCGGTTGACCTAGGACCTTTAAATCGGGTACCAATCTCTGCGTCTCGTAACGGCGCACACGCTCGTTTTTTCCGCGACGCGCTAGCTCCACCAGGCGCGAAACGGCGAGGGGGGGGGGGTCGTACCCGCCCCCCCCCCCCCCTCAGCCGGCGCGTATGTAGAAAACCAATAGGTCTGGCGAGGGTTAAAACTTCCCCGTTTATCTTTATATGCTCTGGATAACACCTGTATTGTAACGCCAGCCCCGACGGCGAATAAAGCTATTCCAGATTATCGCCGCATCGTCCGAATGTCATGTTCGCTGTCGAATCAGTGTGCCACATTCACACTGAAAGCGACACATCTAACAGGACAGACCGGCTTCTCAGCGCTCTACCAAGAATTGCAATAAGTGCCATGAGTGGGGCTAGTGGCTGCACATCGGGTTTCCCATAGATCCTGATTGAGATGTGACTGAGCACAATTCGGCACTGCCTGGAACGCCGAGGATGGTAACCGCCAGGGTGTGAATGATGAGGTCGGCTCCGGTGTCAGCGTGAGCCGTGGACATCGCGTTACCGATGCTCGTAACTCGCGATCGCCGGGGTTTCGGAGCTCCTGACCTCTGCCATGGCATGTCCCGCCGGCGTGACTTCTTGTCCGTGAGCCACGCCCCGGAAGTTCCAGCGCGGAGTCGCCGGAAGCCCGGCCGGAAGTCACCGAGGAGCGTCTGCCCGGCGGCGGGCCGGCCCAGTCAGGTGGAACGGCTCTCCGGACCGCCCCGCCCCGGGACCGGGCCGGTCACTGTGCAGTCGGGCCGGACGATCGGCGAGGCCGGCACTGATGCGCCGCTGCCGGCCCGTTAACGGCCGCTAAACGAGCTGCTAACGTTCTGCGCTCCGCGGTCGGCCGCCGCCGCCGGGCGCGGGAGGCGCGGGTGTGCGGTGACCGGCCGCTGCCCACAAACCGCTCACGGGGACGGACGACCGCCAGCTATTCTGGCCCTATATAGAGACGCCGTCAGAGCTCCCGGAGCTGCTGCCGGCCGGGTCCAACAGCCGGCCCTGCGTGCGCAACGCCAGTAGCCGGGGAATTTGTCCAACTGCCTTAATTCAATGAGCTATTTTTAGCCATTAGCTGCAATGTGTGAGAAATAACGTCGAGTGAAAAGATTACCGAGAACAGTATCAGGTACCGGTGCGAACTGTGCTGGCTGGCTGGTCCCGAGCTGACGGGAAAACGGACGTGGAATGTGCTTCGCTGAGCTCCGACAGATGTAGCAATCAGTGCATTCTTCTGCAGAAAGCCGCGGCATACCGGTCCGATTGTCGCCATGATTCCCGAGTTTTCTGATCTGGCGAGTGAGCAGATCGGACCATGCTGTCGTCGGCCCGGGTGGCAGATAAGCCACTGCGTGTCCGGTCCTACAGATCTGTGGGACTGCGGCCGGAGAATGTGACCGGACCGGGACAAGAGCTGATGAAACATCTGCGATATCCCATCGCTCCGTCAATTTTGGGGCTACAGCCGGTCGACCTCAGATACATAGCTCTGGGTATTTGAGGCTCTGTGCGCCGCGGAGGCCAGAGTGGGAGAGTGCCGGTCCGTCCCGTGCAGGCCGGCCGGCCGGCTGGCGGTCCCCCGCTGAGGCTGTATTACATCCCGCCGAGACGAGATGCCGGCGCCCGCCGAGAGGCTATTCAGGCGGCGGGAGTGAGACTATGGGCCATTGAGTTTCCCGGAGCGGCCATTGTAGAACGCTGCGGTGACGGCCGGAGCCAGGTGTACGCGCCGTGGACCCGCCGCGGGCACTGTCAGTGCGCGCCTACCTGGATTGAGTATGCAGCGTACGGCATGAATTATCAGTGGTTCTCGTGGCATACGTGTAATATCCTTAGATAAGGACTGCATGGTACGATTAATAGTTTTAAAATAGCAGCATCTTTACGTGCTTCTGCTATGTTGATAACATAAATCCATTTATAGGAATGCCGCGTTGAAACGCATCCAGCACAGTTACACGCACTTACACGGTTACGCGTTCTGCGAAATTAAGTGTACTTTTTGCCTCAATATGGCGAAAATATGTGTTCTCGCGCCTGACCCGTGCCCCCTCCACTGACCCCCGTGCCCCTCCACTGACCCGTCGTGCCCTGTCCCCTGCGTCCGCAGGCGGGCCGGAGCTGTGCGTCGTGAAGCCGCTGACGGCTCCGGACTTTTCGGGCGAGTTCCACCTGCCGGTGCCGTCGATCGGGTGCGTGGGCAGCTGCCGGTCCCAGGCCGCCGACCAGGAGGTACACACCGTCCGGCTGTCCACCAAGTTCAGCAGCCACCTCCACAACCCGCAGGTGAGAACTGAGGGAAGCACCGGGTGGCAGCCTCCAGGGGTCAGTCAACCCCCGGCATCGCGCGGAATGCTTCAAACGACAATACTGCTGGCCTCAGTGCTGAGCGCGGCATACGTGCTCAGGTCTTAGCGCCGTTCTTATGTCGCTGACAGCGCCGTCCGAAGCTTGGGTTTCAGCTCCCAGTTGCCGGCTCTTATGGGCTACCTTCTCAGACTCTTTGTCCCATGAGCTGCAGTTCCGGGTGTCTGACTGGCGTGGGTGTCCCTGAGAGTGGGACAATTCAGAGCACATGTGTACCGGTTGCGTGCTCAGCAGTCGCTAACAGCTCAAGAAGTGGAGTAGTCATAAGCGCTTACGAGAATCGCTCTAGTAAAATGTTTGAATAAATAGTTTATTTAAAAAGTTGTAGGTTAACCTATCGTTGAGAAGCATGCGGGTATTCAGAATCTGACCGCAGATGTTGCGTCAGACTGCGCCTTATTACCTTGGCCTTGGCCTACAGCCGAGGCCAGGTCCGCCGTGCACGGGACGCAGAGCTGCATGGCACCCTGTGCCACCGCAGTCTCAATGACGGCGGCTGCGACAGCGCACCGGCCGGTCGGTTCCGTGCCGAAAGCAGTTCCGATTCGGGCCGGCGTAGTTTGTGCATACGCTGGTGGGAGCGGTGAACGGTCGGGCGGCGGTAATGGGTTCGGCGAGCGGCCGGTGTGAGTGAGCGCCATTTGTCCGGGTGGTCACGGCGCCGCGCGCTGCGTGCCGACTGCCACTGACGGATGACACCGTTCGGCAGCGTCGCGGGAAGGCCCACCGAGCTGCGCCAGCCGCCGTGGGTGGCCGCCGGATGTGAGCCGCGCCTGCCGGCCGCCGTGGGAAGTGACCTTTACCTCGGATGGCGGCTTGCATCAATACAGGCTATAGCTGTAGTTGATTGTCAGCACAGCTGAGATGTCGCGCGGCTCTGGCAGCGGGGGCGGGGCGAAGGTCATGTTATTGTGTTTATGTCCAAACACCGGTCAGGAGAGGGTGCATCACGTGCCGTGTCCGACGGCGGAAGGAACCTTTGTCCTCCGCTATGGACCCGACAAAGCCGCGGGCTGGACGGACGGCCATTGGCTGGCGGCGCCGCTCCAGCGTGACACGGTCGTGGCAGCGGTGCGTGTCAGGACACGACCGGAGGGCAGGCGATCGAACCCGCCGGCGGCGCGGCGCCACTCCAGCGACCGTCACCCGATCGACGCGCGGGCAGCCTCAGGAAGTGCTCGTGACGCCGGGTCCAAAGGGGGCGCCGCCGGGAGGGGGAGGAGGGGCTGCAACGGGCTCGGTGCAAGGATGCCTCACATGGACAGCTTAGCGGGTCTAAGCTCCTGGCACCCTATTAGGGAAAGCCATATGAATAACATACCGGACGGCCGGCCGAACCAAGTCAGGCGCCTGTGACGAAATTCAGGGTGTGCCTTCAGTGCCGGCAAAGGATACCAACCGGATAGAATGATCGCCAATAACGCCTACAGGGTGTTTCATAAAGAATGTCAATTTTAAATTCGCCATATTAGCCATATAAGACAATATATTTGCATAATTTTCAGATTCACATACACCAGAAGACTTGGACATTTGATTTTTGTCTGTTCACTTTTCTCTATCTAGACAAACGGTTCCACGACAGCACCGTGAAGATCAATGCACTTTCGGTCCCGTCCACGGATATGGCGCGCGGCCCGGAGCACTTCTTCGCAGTCCATGGGGGAGTCAACGAAGTCTTGTTCTAAGTCTAAAGTGAACCCTAAAGCGAAGGGTTAGCTCTAAGGTGAAGCCGAAACTTTCTCATAAATTTGGAGATGTTCTTGAGGCTTCCGAGCTGTAACACTATCCACGCCTTCTGTTCTTTCGAAAATGGCGTATTAATCATTTGAGCACGGCGAGCCGCGAGGTGAACCCGACATACTCGTATCCCGTTCTGAAAAAGGAATGACAACAACTTTGGCATTGAATGCTATTTATATAAAATGTCCATCAATTTCCAACAATGCTTGAAAGTTTGCACGTGCTAGACACATTTTTTCTTTTTGAACTCCCCAGTTTAAAATTGACATTCATTATGAAACACCCTGTATATATGGAGCGCCAGGTGCTGTTTGCCAACGTCGAACCATTTGACATTTGATGGCACAATTTTAAGTTCGTTAAATGTCAAGGACTTGATAACGTTATCTGCCCATTCTGTGTTCAATGATGTTTAATATGAGATGAAAAATTAATTTTTGTTCAGCTGCAGTTGGAGTTAAATGTGAACCAAAGTCAAAGACCTGCTACATCTAATCATCGCTCGTTCTTCCACGGTCTGTGTCAAGCCCAGAAACGAGCGTACGTTGCTGCAGAGCGACCTCTCGCCGATCCCTTCTGTCACGTGCTCAGGGTCGATTGCCGAGCTCCGTTGTCACGTGCTCGGAGGGGTGCCACGCCCAGTCTCCGCTCCATCAGAGCCGGCGCTATGTTCGGAATGGCCGCGCTGCAGGACGTCTAGCTCTCATGGCTCGGTGTCGGGTGGCCGCGGGTGGGCTGACCGCGGGCCCGGCCCCGGGAAGGTCGGGGCGCCGGTCAGAGGTGCCAGCCGGTGACCTCCCGTGCCGTCCGCGGGGCACGACACGTCAGCCGGTCTGCCGGGACATCTCATGGTGCCTGAGCCGTGTTATTAGCGTCGAGGTAGATCTGAGTGGTGAAGGGGCGCCCGGACGGCCGGTGTCAGGTGTCCTGTGCAGCGGGAGGTCCATGGGGTCGCGCGGTACAGCTCTCCCCGTACATATGTACGTACATACGGCGCTGATCTGGCCGCGGGAGTGTGACCAGTGCCGACGTCATATGACACGTCGGCATACCGGACGGCCGACATACATACCGTTATGACGCATCAGAACAGTATGCTGACAGGACAGCTGCTCAATATTCATTATTCGCCTTTCGGTCACATGGTTCTTGGATATGTTGCGAATGCGTGCTTGTTTCTATGTGCCAGATGATGTTGACATCGTGTTGAATCATTTCCTTCTTTGGTTTGTTATTTGCCTTGTGTACACAACTAGTTATGTCAACGAATTAGTCCATTCGTATATTTTTGAAGTCCCCTTGCAATGCTCCCACGAAACTAAACTCTGATCGCATATGCCCACAGACCCTGGCCAAGGCGACGCTGAACGTGCGCGCGCCGCGGGACGGTCGGCCGTTCGGCAGGAAGGTGATTCTGTTCCTGGTGGGATCGTCCCCGGTCAGCTGGTGAGTAGTCGCCCCACCCCCCACCTCTGTCCACGCACTGGCCGTGGGAGCGGGGCCGTCGAACCGCCGACACGTGTGCCGCTGCGGTCGGCGAAAACACACCGAGTGTGATTGATTTTCAATCGTTCCGTCTTCACTAAGACGTATTTTTACTCTGGGAACTGTAAACAGCTGTCCGTCGGCATGATTTAGCGGTCATCGCTCACATTTTTGATGGACTCGGCAGTCGGTAAGTCGGCTCACTGGTGGAGGATAGTACCGAGCCGGCCGGGCCGGTATACGGCGCCCGTTCCCACGGCTGGGGCAGACGCCGCCAGTGACGGCGGCAGGCAGTCCCGGCCTTCGACACTCGACCGACAGCTAACCGGCAATAAATAATCAAATTACAGCACTGGCCTGTGTCTCGGCGGCGCCTACCTGCGCGGCGGCCCGGTGCAGCCACACGCGGGCTGATGGCGGCCGGATGGTGCGGTGCACCGTCTATTTGCAAATGTCATGTAATGGCCCCGGTGACGTGGGGATTTTACACAAAGTCGCGGAACATATCGCTTGTTGCAGCGTACGCCGGCGTCTTTCGAGTCACCGAGGAATGCTGCTGCCGGAAGCGGAGTGGCCGCTGCAGTTGTAACAGTAGCCCTGCGGTGCAGACGTAGTAAAACATGTAAAAGTGCAGGGCAAAGGAGTATCGGATGTCGACATGTGACGGACGCTTACGGGAATGAATCGATTTAAAAGACCTGTACAAATCTATGCCATAGGCCCACAGCCAATAGCCATTGAACCATTCGAGTAAAGGTCTTTTCGGTAACGAAGGAGCTAGTGTTGAAGTGACCCCGATGAGCGCATTTGCACAAATTGAATAAGAAAATGGACTTGTGCGGGTCATCCATTTAGCGAGTTTCTAACGGCGGCGGCGCACCAAAGCTAAACGCTTCTGTCCAGTCGATTTGGGGATGTATATTGTAGATATGCCTGGCCATGCCATAACGCGGTCAGAGCCGGTCATAAGATTTTCCGGTAACCTTGCAACATAAGGAATACTCAATACTTGTTTCACACCCTGTGCTGGCTTGTAGTCGTGAATGCATAACAGTCGCTGCAACCAATGAATATGATATCACCAGGGGCATTTCCTCTCTTCGCTCTTTCTTTATTGAACGACAATAGTGATGACTTATTATATGTGACTTTCAGATATCTCAAGCTTTTCATAATTAACACTGCTGTAACAATTGGACTGTTGTGAGTTTTTCTTTGCTTACGGCCAACGAGGTTCTTGCCCCGCACGTTTCCTCTGGTAGGTTTCATGATGACAATACTTCTCTTGTCTTTTCTTCAGGACCGTGAGGACATACGGCGCGTTCGAAAATGGCACGAACTTCCAGATATTTGTGAGTACCCTTTAATGCTTTCCGGCTATGAACTATCTCAAGCTATTGAATTGCAAGGACACTTGATCTGCTTATAAATCTCTCGTCCTCCGCCATTCTCATACGCCGAACGACGCTGTGTTTTGTTGGTATGGCGCTAGAGCTGATGGCGGCATTGACCCATTAGTGTGCGTAGAGGACCAGTTGCAATGGGAACAGCTGCACGACTATCGATACCGTAACTGCAGCTGCTGCTGCTCGACTAAATCGCTCCTGAGATTGTGTTGTAATTATTTGTGTGCAATCATTCTAAATTCCTCTGCTTATTTATTATTATTATTTTTGGCTATAGGTTATATTTGGTTGTTGAAACTTAGTACATTCCAAAATGATCAAATATGTGCTCTAATCTTCACTTCCTGTTCCATCAACCTGCAAGCATTCGTCCAAATTAGGGGCAAAGTGTTCTGTCACGTTCGTTTTTGTATATCTACCTATAGTTACTTCTTATTTCGTAGAAGTCATGGCTTGCGTGAAAACTACGACCATTGACAATAAAAGCAAAGGTACCGGTTGATATCTACGATACCAGCAATGCGCCTAAAAACAGCTGACGAATGGACTTGAAGCGTTAGCGGTCTCATCCAGTTCTGCGCTGCCCCTTCCACTGGTATTTCGTTACCGGTCCGGCCCTGGTAGTGTCCGCTGGGCGGCATATTGCCGAGACATGTCCGGGTCTCGTCACCGATGAGTAGAGCGACACTACTGACTCGTTTTAGCGCCCGATTCATTGAATTGTGAATGTCATGCAGCATTTTCCTGTTTCCCACTTCGCCTGATTATATGTATTTGGTGCCGGATTTCGTGAAGTGGACGGTGCATGCATAGCGTGTGCATTATGGAAGGGTGCGTATTATTTAGGCCAGGGTTCATAATGTCCAGGGCACAATGTGTCCAGTGCTCGAAATGGCCAGTGCCCTGAATTGGCCAGTGTTCACATTGTCCAGGGATTACATGGTCCAAATGTGGCCAACTGGCTGCAGATAGGGTAAATTCAAAGAGGCCAGGGTTCATAATGTCCAGGGCACGATGTGTCCAGTGTTCGAAATGGCCAGGGTTCATAATGTCCAGAGCACGATGTGTCCAGTGTTCGAAATGGCCAGTGGTCGTAATGTCCAGGGCACGATGTGTCCAGTATTTAAAATGGCCAGTGCCTTGAATGGGCCAGAGTTCATAATGTCCAGGGATTACATAGTCAACCCAACCCAACCAAACCTAACCTAACCTAACCTAACCTAACCTAACCTAACCTAACCTAAGGTAATGATGTTTGCCTACCAGGGATAAGGAAATAGTTTCTCGCATGAATAGATTGCAAGCAATAGTAAATCAAATATTTTTAGGTTAAGTGGTTATGCATCAGGCTTCAGGCCTTCGGCCTGAAGCCAGATACATAACCACTTAACCTAAAAATATTTGATTTACTATTGCCTGTAATCTCTCCTAAGGCATTGCCTACGGCACTGCACTGCTTCGCATTGAGCTGGTTCCGTGTTTCTTACATAATGACGTCACTTTCAGTGACTATGTAATCCCTGGACATTATGAACTCTGGCCCATTCAAGGCACTGGCCATTTTGAGCACTGGACACATCGTGCCCTGGACATTATGAACCCTGGCCATTTCGAACACTGGACACAACGTGCCCTGGACATCATGAACCCTGGCCATTTCGAACACTGGACACATCGTGCCCTGGACATTATGAACCCTGGCCTCTTTGAATATACCCTATCTGCAGCCAGTTGGCCGCATTTGGACCATGCAACCCCTGGACATTATGAACTCTGGCCCATTCAAGGCACTGGCCATTTCGACACTGGGTATATCGTACCCTGGACATTATGAACCCTGGCCAGAATGAATGCTCCCCTTATGGAACCAGGTAGCATGAAGGCTGATTTTAGACAGCGTTTGCAAAACTGCCCGACAGCTCAGGTTCTTTTGTCAAAAGAAAAACGATTCCAACGAATAGCGTTTTTAGCTATTGAGGACAAACCTTTCTTTATGAGTGGAGGAGTTTGTGTTTGCTTAAGTCTCTGTTTGTTTAACACTAATGGTCATGTTGACAGCGGCTTTTGAAGCCACGCTCCCCTGGTATAGCGGCCTCTATTGCTCCAGTTATCACCTACGGACGGCTATCGACCAAATTTATTGAGGCGGTGCCGCTGCCAAGTGCCAAGTGCCAGCAGATATATGGTTTTAGCCACGCGAACCTTGCTTCGTGATCGATAAATGACGAAAAATGGAGCGTCAATCTAATGGATGGTGCACTAGGCTAGCCTGTCATATCCGACATGCATGCAGTGTCCGACACTAAAGCATGCCCGGCGACATAGAAGGCTTGGTACCTATATCGCAAATGCTAAGGCTTTGATGGGAAATATTCACCTTCTGTATCAAGGGGTCATTTAACACAGTGATTTAATCGGTAAAACTGTGTTTGCCATTTTAGTGCATTAGTTTCGGTGCATTTTTCACGTTGCTCGTGATGTCGGTTAATTGCGAGATGGCAAAGCCGGCAATCACGAAGCTATGAGGCACGTGTGAAACAGTTTGTAGCTCGTGACTACACTCTCACGTAGCCATATCGCACGCCCATATAAACCAGTAAAACGCCTTTTGGGCGAAGAACGAGCGAACGAGATAGTGAGCCCTGCACGTGCAGAAGGGCGAGAGAGTACTTCCAACGGGCTTGTGCAAAGCACCCTTCTTACCGGTCGCTAGCGGTGTACCAAATTTGAACGCAATCGGCCCAGCCGTTCCTGAGATCTGGAAGCGGCATTCTGCACGTGCGCACGTGCAAACGGGGTCCAAAATGACTTTTGCACGGCACCCTACTAACCGGTCCCGAACCGTGTACCAAATTTGAGCGCAATCGGCCCAGCCGTTCTCGAGATCTGGAAACGCCCCCTGCACGTGCGCACGTGCAGTAGCACCCTAACCGCAACACATGGGAATGCATTGCCTGGTGGGTGCCTACCTGTATGTCAAGTTTCAGCGAAATCGCCCCAGTAATTACCGAGTTACTGAAATGGGAACAAATTTGGCACCTCTTATTGTTGTATTTTGCACGTGCAGTGGGGGTCACTCACATAGATCAAGAGTATCCGACCTTTGGTAAAAGGGATGCAGCTACCCTATAAAAATGACCGCAAGACAATCGCTCAAGCCGCTGCTGAGATATGAGCCTCTCAAAATCATTACTTTTGCAAAACTGCTTGAACACCCTTGACTTTTCACGTGGCACGTGCCACGGCGGTCACTGAGATGTATCAAAAGTAGTCAATTACGGGGTAGAAGGGATGGGGCTACCCAGCAAAAAAGACCGCAGGCCAATCGGCCCAGCGGTTGCTGAGATATAAGCCTCCCAAAAGCGTTACAGGCCGGGCCGGGCCGGGCCGGGCCGGGCCGCTCATACTGAGATTTTTCCCTTATATTGAAAAGACTTCGCTCGCTGCGCTCGCTCGCTCGTAATAAGAGTGTCACAAACCTTTCGTACCGCTACAAAAACAACGAAACGGGTGACGACACAAGGCGAGCAGTATGTACCGCGGCAGTTCCTTCAGGTCTATCGATAGCTGAACATTCCCAGGACACACTCGCGCTCCGCACAATGATTGCCGTCGTCTGCGCGGGTCGCCGCTGGCTGCTCGCGGATCGGCGCCACTCGCCGGTACCTGTGTACCTAATTCAGTCGGCTCGCGTACGGGCGGCGGCGGGCGGCGGCGCATTGATTTTTCTCGTGAGTCTGCAAACGTCACTACATGGTCGACGTCAATACAGCACGTCCGGGAGAGGCGCGGGACGCGCGGCCCGCACGCCGGCGAGCCGAGCCGCTTGTGAAATGGGCGACTCGGTGCGGGCCTGGCCTCCGGTGGCGGAACTCATTCAGTCATTCAATCGATGGCTGAATGAATCAATGATTTGTGCATCGGTGACCGACATTTTTTCGTTTGAATAAGTGATGAATGGGGTGATTTGCACGAACGTCAGGGAGGCCTTCGGCTGGCGTTTGGCCGTCAATATGTGCAAAAGCGTATTGCTTTGAATCGCTAGCTAGAAACAATTATATACTACAAGTGGGTACTTTATGTTTAGGTGCATCAATGCATAAAATGGGTTTTGTTAAAATTCACCACAGATAACAATAAGCAAACATGATTTAACCCATTAATGCCGCTTGGGTCATATATGACCCAAAAGCAACATCTTAACATTTTTTTCTAAATGGAGGCAAGTGGCACTTTGAGGAACTTGTGCGTGTGTTTTGTTGGATTTGTGGGTTCAGCGACGAGCGTCGGAGCCGCATAAAACTCGTGTGAGCTCGTCCACTGAAGTTGCTGGAGCCCAAGACGACGGGACTGCACAGCCGCCGGTCACTGGCAATGGCGCGCCGTCCCAAAAAGTAATATTATGTTATGTTTGAACTTTACTATCTATTGAATGATCGTCCACCTGGCATCGAAATTTGTCTGAAAAAGACATGATGTATATTTTTGGCCTTCTTGTCGCCATCGGATAACTTTTTTTCCTCGATAAATATCCTTGGGTCATAAATGACCCAGCCGGCAATAGTGTTGTCAATTTTCTCGTATGTTGAATACAAGGGAAGCAATTGATGATTATACGATTATTTATTTCTGGGGGTTGTGATCAGATCACAGTGGCGGATCCAAAGGAGGGGGGTCATATGGGTCACTCATGACCTCCCCTGGGACCCGAGGGCACCACCGACCTATCAGGGGCACCACAGGCCTAGTGTTGCGATGTTGGGATATCATGAGCGGACCGTTTGTCCGGGGCCGTGACGCGGGGCGGGCCGGCGACTCGGCCGGCCGAGGGGCACCACGGGCCTGTCAGGGGTACCACAGGCTTGTTAGGGGCACCACAGGCCTGCAGAAGCTCCATCGGCCTAGCAAGAGCACCACAGGTCTGTCAGGGGGCACCACGGACCTGC